CCCATGTGCGTCGCTTCCAATCTCGAGCTCTAGAGCCGTAGCCACCCTCACCGAGACGCCAAGCCGCCGTGACCTAGCGCTGCTGCCGACGTCGTCCACCTCGCCGCGTGCCATGTCGACTCTGTCCGCCCTGCGCCTTGCTAAGGTACTCGAACGAGCTCACCATTGTCTCCTTTAGCTTCCTGTGCTTTTGCTTCGTTCAATGGAGGTCCGTAGACTGTAATCAATGAGCGCCATCCGTCACCGCCCATGGCGCCGTCGTGTTGCTCGCCGCCGGACGGCCAGTCTTCTCTCTCTCTTCCCTCTGATCTGATCTCAGCTGTCCAAGTCATATCCAATGGCAGACAGAGCCCGATACTCCTTCGTCTGTATTTTTGCAAAAAACCCTCTTATAATTAATTGGGTCTTAACCCGTAGTCCCTGTCTTTTTTCTAAAGAGCCCTCGGGGTTTTCAATAACTTAACCCGCAGTCCATAGCATCTTTCCGGAGTACGTTTTCTTCTTTAGAAAGCGTAGTTTCTTCGGTTTAGATCCAGAATACGTTTTCATCTATTTACAGTTTTGCCACTGGTTTTTATAGGCCATAACTTTCACGTTTTAGCTCCGATTTGATCCATTCAACTTGCGTTAGGTTCGTAATACCATAATATACATGTTCATACTACTGTTCAGTATGTTTTCAACTTTTAAAATCGAGGTTAGCTTTAATTTATTATTTTATAAAAGGAAATCTTGTTTAATTAATAACTTATCCGTTTTAACTCCGATTTGAGTGATTATCGCGTCTGCGTGTTCGTAACATTGCGTAGAACAGTTTTAAAACCTTTTTAACTTCTATTTCTACTGTTTGGTGTATTGTTCTAATTAGCTTATATTTATTTGCTATGCAAGTATAATATGAGGCTCCTTGTTACCTATTCACTTTAATTCATATGCATATGTTAATGAACTGTTTGGAGTCTACTTATCTTGATATTGATTATCCTGTCCTTGATTTACCTATGGGTTTTGCATGCGGGTAGTATGCTCAATTTGCTCCAACTGATATTAATTAAAGAATACAATTAAAGATATATGCACTATGGTACTAAAAGATACTTTTTAGCAACATGGAACCAAGGAGGCTAGAGCATTGGGCCTTTTCTTATGGTGCTCTAGTTTCTCTCCATAAGGACTCATCTTTAAGTGACAACCCAGAACTTATAGTACAACCATGAGGACCACATGGATCTGATCTTAATCTAGTACCTTGCTCTTTCTAGCTTGTAGCAGTTTATCGAAAGGGCAAGAGGGGCATACCAGGATGGGTATGGGCCTCATCCCCAGGGTATGTACTATGCTGCGTGTATTAGTGCCACTTTTGGAGATGACTCCATAACACTTGGGAGATGGAATCCTTAGCGGCTGCTCCTTATTAGAACAACTGGGGAAAAGCTTTGTAGTGTACCCTGCCTGCTCACCTTGAAAGTGTTTTGGGAGTAATTAACCTGGGCATATGGGCAACACGACTCATGGTGAAAGTGTACAACCTCTGCAGAGTGTAAAACTGGTATATCAGCCGTGCTCACGGACACGAGCGGCCTGGACCCTTACTGAATAGTTGGTTACTTGGATGGTTTGGGTTATGATTAAAATTGCTGATATCTCTAATTATTCATATTTGGGAGCCTAAACATAACTTAGCAACTTATGATTAATAATAAAATATGACCAACTAAAAGTGCTTACCGCAGTTCAGCTGTGTCAAGCCTTTTGAGCCTGCATCCCCTCATGGTATGCTTGCTAAGTGGTAGTAGCTTACGCTTGTTTTATTTCAATACTTTGGTAAAATTCCGGATGGGTACCAGATGGAGGTTCTTTAGTGGAGTTTTCCAAGAGGTGTTAGGCTTGTGATCAACCAGTTGACGATTCCTATGGTGTTGGAGGCTTCGTCAGAAGAATAAAGTTATAGTATATACTGTAAAGTAAGACTATATCTTTTATAACAAATATTTATGCGCTATGTAACAAAGGCATTGTCTTTGATATTACCTCTTCATTTGTAACCATACGTATGAATTGAATCATGAGCACACATATGGTGTGTATCTGATTTTGTCCTTAAAACCAGATGCTACATCCTCATATTTGGAGAAGGAATGACGGCGGCGCTAGGGCTGATGGTGAGGAATTTGGGTTCCTTGTGATAACCACACCATGTTCGTTTGGCTTTTAAGTCGTACTTTTTCAGCCAACGAATAATATTTTTCTCTCACAATAAATCAATCAAAAGTACTTTTAGGTATGACTTATCAGCCAAACGAACGGAACCAGCTTCCAGCCCATTATCCTTATCTGCTCGCAACTTTTGGTGCTCCCCTGCCCCAAAATCCCAACTGTGCTTGCACGTGCTCTCTCTCCCACCCCTTGCTTTTAGTTTTTTTTCTGTGTTGCTTTTAGTTTTTTTCTGTGTTTCAGCGCATGCGCTCGTTCCCACCTGGCCCACCCCTGCTTGCGGCAGGTGCCTTGCTGTCGGTTTGATGCTGTCCAGCGTTTAAAGCGCAGCCTAAACGACACGCTAGTGTTTAATTGGCCATGCAGGGACTAAACGACACTCTGGGATCTGATCGTCGCTTAATCGCGTCCTAATTGTGCATTTAGTTACGTTTTTTTACACTGCTCATGATTGCAACTTGTAATGACTAATGCAACCGATTATAGAGTACTGACCGATGATTAGTCTTTATGCTAATGGATAACCATTTGTTAGACAATTCACAAAAATCGCAATTTTGATCAACTCGTGTGTGGCTGTGTGGTCCATTCCTAACGAATGGATTCGATTCTCAATTTAGAATTTAGAAACTACACTAAGGGGGAAGGGAACCTACGGTGGTTTCTTCAGCCTTGTGGGCTAGTGCCTAAGTCGCTCTCCTACGTGAGTCATGCTCTATGGAGTCAGCTACTGGTGGATCAAGGTGATCGGTGTTGTAGTGCGACTTGCTTCGTGCGGCGTGGCTCAGGCAACATCAATTAGTGATGCGTCTCGGTGCTTGGCTGCTACCTTTTTGAGTTTTGGTGTTTTTTGGGGCCATATATACAAATGCTAGCACTACATATATTATAAAAACCTGGAAGGGGTGGCCTTTGTTTCGGGGGGCTGGAGCAGCCACCCCTCTGCTCTACACTTAGGACTGGCCCTGAGGCTAGAGTGGCCACCCCTCTGGCCCACCTCTAGGACCGGCCCTGTAATTGCCTGTACTTTTCCATACTCGTATCTGGCTAAAATTGTAAGCTAAAAGGGACTTGGGACCTTACTCAACTTTGGAATGTCTAGTCACAACAAAGTCGAGAATGGCATGGCTTCAAGGGTCCTATTGTGTTTTGTTACCAAAACTAGGAATTACTTGGCACCTGTTTTAGTGTGGACAAAAAGGGTAGATCTTATTTTTAGGCCTACATACTTGAGTTCCAATATATATTCCTTGCTGGAGATGTTTATGCCACTTAATGTCTTTTTGTATCGTGTGCTTGTTTAAACACAGCTAATCTTCCGTGGTCAACATGTCAACTGACTTGCTCCTCTTTCGTAGAGGCTAACAGGCAAATGGTCCCTTTTAGGCATTGGGGATGTGTCTACATTTTTTATTTTTACCACTCTTAGTATAGTCGAATCAGTGAGAATTCAAAGTTACACAAAGTGTACCTGCCTTTTTTCATAGAGCAAATAGTAATCTTTGAATGTTATATTAATATAATAACTGGGTTCTATATTTATTTAGCAAGTGTCTGCTTGCTTCTTTTTTAGTTTAAGTAATATCCTTATATATTATATCCTTATTATCTATTATTAGCGTATTTGAGTATCTATTCTTTTTAAAACCGTTTCATTTATAGATAGCTATCTAGCCGCACTCATTGCGAAAACTGGCCTGGCCTATTTGCAAAACCGGCCCAACCTGTTTGTAAAGCTGGCCTAACCTATTTTAATAGCCTTCACTCGTTAATAATTGTTCAACTGTATGTGTAGAAGGATGGTTGGAATGGCCCAACCCCAATCTGTTGAATCTCTTGCCCGGAAGGACCGTGTGGGGGCATGTGTGCTGCTAGGTTGCTTTAGGATGTGAAAGCAGAGTTGTCACGGAGTAGTTAAATCTGACTTTGACTCTTGTATACTGAAAGGACCAAAGTACACCAATCAGAATAGAAATATGCTCAAAATCTAGGGCTAGTATGGGGTATTTTGGTCCGCTAGTTGTAAAAAGAACGCTATAAATAGAGCTCTCCATGAATAAAGGCGAGAAGATCACTATTTACCAGATTTCACTCCACTATTACACCTTTACTTCTCACTTCACTATATGACTTGGGCAACCAATCATCCAAGACTTGATTTCAAAAAAAAAAATCATCCAAGACTTTTGTCGACAACATTTGACGTCCACCTGCGGTTGAGGAAAGACCGAAAGAGCAAGGTGATGGACAAGAGTTCCAAAAGAGCCCAACCCACCCCACCCCCACCCATTTCTCAAGACCCAAACGGGGAGACTCTCCCGAAGGCCATATCACAGCTGGAGGAGTCCTATAGGGTGGCTAGCCACAGGAGCGAGCGGCGGTGCCTGTGACTAATCTAGGGCACTACGGCGGCTACATATGTTGTTTTCATTACAACTGTGATGTCTGTGATCCATTATCCTTGTTTTGATCGAGTTGTTAAATGTCGTGGTATCAAGTTTAACTTGTTCTTTTTTTTTTGGTGACTAACTTGTTCCAATTGTGCTTAGTGTGGTAACTGGTAACGTTGATGAGCCATTTAAACCAGGCTAAATTAGACAGTTCAGCAACGGCCCCAAACTACTTTCATCAAACAAAAGTTGCCTCCTATGGGAATAAGGGTAGGCGGTGTCAAACTAGTCATAAATTACAGAATAACTTTTACATGATCACTAAAAATGCACCAAATAAGTTACATGTGACGGCAAATATTTCTGAAGATTTGCAACATCTTCAATGCGCTACTGCTAAGCAGGTCTCTTGGATGGCCTAGAGATGCTCGTACCACTATCTTCACTGTCATTATCTTCAACCTGTAAGGAGTGATTCAGATGTCTATAAGAATATAAATACCATTCCCCTAAATAGTATTCTGAACACATTTAATAAGAAATAATAAATATACAAATATAGGATGGGATCATCCGCATTTTTCAGGCGCTACAAATGGTTAAATCAGATTGGCATTATGTGCTCTGGTGATTGATCACATTTTATAGTAAATTGCCGAAAACAACAATCCGCACCTAATAACTATCAAAAAATTATAACTTCTAAATTAGTTTTTTTTTTAAATAACAGGGTAGGGATATGAAAAGAGGAAGAAGTCTAGCTAGAAGAAAAATCCCCGCAGCAACTATGCCCTAGTAACACCAAACTAGAACTGGTCCCAAGAGCTGTAGTTTTTTTTTATAGTGGGGAGCAAATTGTTTTATCAATCATGAAGGACACCTGGCCATTTTTGTATTATAGAAGAGCATACAAATTATTGTAGTTTTGTCAAATTTACTCTACATTTAGAGTTCTCAACATCTTTCAAGGTTTTTCCTTGACCAAATGCTATTAATTTTGACTCTTTCAAAGGGTTGTACAGGTTTATAGCTCTGTCGTGAAATAAAGCAAGACATAGCAAAGTATCGCAAACCATTGAACCCCATGTGGATTTGGCATCATAGGTCGAGTGATGTGCTCATATGCATGACTTTAACGACACATGCCAAGCAGTGGCACCAGGATGACTTTTTTGAAAGTTATTTATTTCTACAGAAGCTGTCAAGTCAATCTGCTATCCACCTTTAAAGAACAATCAAACAAATTACTTGATTGTGTTCTTTGGCCTAAAGTTCAACTACATATTTTGTTCTTCATGTAGCGTATTCTACATCAGTTAAAACTAGTCCATTAAGAGGTCAACTTCTATGGCGTGCAATGATGTTCTAACTGGATGTTTGCTCTTTGTTTTTTAAACCCACATCAGGTGCTTACTTACCTTTTGGAAAGCTGGACAATATGGCAATTCATATGAACTTTCCTATGAAATTGTTGTTTCTATGCAAAGATAATCCAACTTACCTTATCAGTGCCATCCCTGTCTGCTGTCTGCTGGAGGTAGCCTGAATACCGAACAGAACAATTGTCATTATCATGAATCCATGATTCCATGACTAATGAGGATGAAGATGAGGGAACATTGAATGCACTATCACTGCTAGATCTTTTCCTTGTCACTTGCAAGTTAGCAGTAGAGCCTGTGTCATCCATGTTTGAGGCATTGATCATATCATCTTGAATAATCTGTTTGTATGGGGCCTTCACTTCAGTAGGCTGTAACTTTTCGTTCTTGCCATTAGTAGACAGTACCCTTTGGTCCATCGATGAAGTGCTTGGAGATAATTTCTTCTTCAAAACAACCTTTGGGATATCAAAATTCCTGATATTATTCAGATTGTCGTCCACAACTTCGCCATCTAGTTCAGCAAGTTTTGCAGCTGTGTCCAATTGCCACATTGTGGAGATGGCATCATCTAAGCATTCCCGCGCCATATGAAGTTCTACTATGGGCTTAGGGTAGTTAAAGCCCAACTCAACTCCAGCAACATGTAATATAGAGTTAGGAGCACCCCATGGACAATGGATCCATTCTGTTGGCATTCTAGCAAGTTCAGGAATCCAAGTTCTTACATATTCACCATCTGGATCGTACTTTTGACCCTGAACCTACTTTCACATAAAACAAAAGGCCAGTCAGGACCTCTTTTGTATAAATAAGTTAACCCCCTCCAGAACAAAGCATTTACCAAAAATAAATAAAAACTGGTACTCACTCCAATGACAAAAACATGTCATTTAGGAAAACATTTGGTCAAACCATAAAAATTACAACCTCAATAATAATTATATTATTTAGTATAGAAACATGTAAGTTATATGTCTAGAATTGTATTTCATAATAATTTGCAACCATCTTAAATTTCAAGGATCTTACAATATATTCTATAAGAAATCAGTGGTCAAAGATAAGCATTAAATAAAGACAATGCAAAACCAAATGTATCAAGTATTTTAGACCGGAGGGAGTAGGTGACTATAAAATATCTGTGGAGGACAAAATGAAAAAAAAATGCAGCCATCAATCCCATACATGTCCGAGGGACAACCCATCCTGTTGCATGTTTAATAACCTACAAGAAGCAATATATTTCATTTAAGGCGAGAAAGGAAAATTATGCTTTTCACTAAAAATATAAAGTGGACAGTGCCAATTGTTTGCCCTTTTCAGGCCTAGGCAGCTCCACTAATAAATACAACAGAACCAGGCTAACCTGCAATTGCCTTGGTTTAGCATTAACTACCAATTACACTTCTTTTAGAATTCAATAATTCATAAAGCTCTGAAGAAAATAGTTATGCTGTTTCTACTGAGCATCGTTTCATTAACAAATGAACAGTATTTAGTAAGAACCTATAGTGTCAGCATTTTTTTTTCAGAAAAGTGTAGTGCCAGCAATGATCACACAAGGTAAATCCATGAATTATTCATGAACTGGAGTTACTCATTTAAACTTGCGTACAAGTTAACTTTATGTAATCAATCAGGTTGAACTGTTAGAAGTAATCACTGCATAACCAGTAGCTTAGTGTCAAGTCTTTTGTTCAGAGTCTGAGTCTTTGTTCAGAGTTTGTTCAGAGTTAGTGTTGTCCTGGTTTCCAGGCAGTAGTTGGTTAGTGGGTCAGTTGCCTCAGTCGTGAACTATAGTTTCTAGGAGCCACTATAGCCAGCTGTTAGTTACTTGAGCATGACACTTTCTTGTAAACATTTCAGTTATAAATAACAGGCAACAACAAAAGCTGCATCTTTGCAGCGCCAAAACACTTGAGTCCTTGTGTGTTCTTGTGTAATCAAGTAACAGCAGTGAGTCTGTGAGTTGACAGAGGCATACATCAACTAATAGTTCAAGTAAGATTTGGAGCTAAAATGCATTGTTCTTGTAATTCCATACCTCTGGATTATCAAGACGGCTGAGCTCATGTCCATCAGGCAAACTCCCAGATATGTACTGCCAACCAAGAATATCACTTTCTAGGTCTGCATCCAGAAGCACATCCCAAAAGTACTTCATTCCCCAAATCCAGGGTATCTGTAGAAATTTTACAGCGAAACTTGAAACAATCACTCTTATCCGATTATGTGTCCAACCAGTAGCCCAGAGTTCCCTCATGCCAGCATCTACTAACGGGTATCCAGTCATTCCCTGTCTCCAAGATTTGAAACGGCCCTCATCCAATAGCCAGGGATAATGCTTCAAGTTACCCAGAAATGATCTTTCGTGCGTGAACGGGAAGTTAAAGCACAAGTACCGCGAATATTCCCGAAAACCAATTGATCTTAGGAACAATCGAACACTCTCCTCAGCTTCATATTTTCCTTCATTTTGCCACTTGACATGATGCATTGTAACAAGTTGATAAACCTTCCTTACACTCAACTCCCCGAAATGGAGATATGGTGACAATAATGACGTTGTAGTTCCCCCAACCTTCATACCATGTTTTGAATATTCTAGGAGACCACAAGACACAAATTCGTCAAGCATATTCTCTGCATTGCGCCAGCCAGGAGACCAGGCCCTGCTTAGCAAAGCATTGCTTGATTCCACATCCTTACTAGATTCAAGACCTAGATCATCAATCGAACAATAGCGAACATTCGCTAGACCTGAGTTTTACAACAAATTATTAAAATTAAGCAGAAGTATGATGATTTGTTGACTGGAGAGACATTAAATCCAAATTGTTAGAGGAGCAATCACTAAAATTCAAATGTGGAATACTCGAATGAATAGTACTTTGGAGCAAACAACTAACTCGGGCCGTTCTAGACATTATATGAGGAACCAAGACTAAAAAGAAAATTTCTATGTAGTGCAGAGAAATAGAAATTGTACAGATGTTCAAGAAAAGAGAAAATGATGCTATGGCAAAAAGTTACCTGGCGCTGCCACCAGCCTTGTAGGTGCAAGATATTGTGATATCTCAATAGGTAGATTCATGCATTTCTCCCAGTACTTGTTAAAGGATGTAAATGCCTGCCCATTCTCATCATAAACATCCCATGGCTCGTAAAGTAGATCACCATTGAAACTTTGGACAGAAATTCTATGGGCTGAAAGCTCATTCTTGATTTTGTCGTCAAGCACAAGTGAAATAGGGTCTACAGTGTAGGAAAGAATAAAAAGGCATCGCAAGAGAACCGAAGCAGAATAAATTGTAAGTGGCGAATGGGTAGAGCAATGGATAATGCAGCACAAAAACTCTGTGCCGACTTTGCAGACTAATGATTATTAATAAACTTGTTTCTTAATAGCAATCAAATATTGGTTCAAGTCCAATGGAGAAGACATGCAATCGCACAAGGGATGGAATTGGGTTTAAGAATAACAAACTTCAACAGCTCTAGGAAAAGTCAGAGTTCCAATATAGAACTGGGGACCATAGGGCCCTGATAGTGTACTTATTTGTTTCAATAAGACTTTCATCATGTGACCTCCTGAACTTGATTACATGCAGCTTAGTCATTGCTCATTGGCCTCAATGCTCAATCCAATGTTGTATATTTAGATTTTTAAGAAAAAAATGCTCACTGACTTCTATCATGTTAAAATTAGGAAAGACTTATGGCAGATTACTGTTTACATTTTTTTTCTATCACTTGCTTGCTTTGACTATGAATTTCGATCTTCTACATATTATGCACATATAAGTGAAATATAGCACTGACTAACGTATTTCAACTAAAGTCTATGATAAGAAAGTGGTTAAACAAGGAAAATTTTCTACCTAGGAATTTCATGTTTAGTAGAAGATGGTAAACCACAACTAATGTGAGCTGCAGTGTAAATACCAAAGCTTTGGAGCTAGAACTCTGCTAACTGTTTCACTTGTATCACCTCGAGATTAACATATTTGCTGGCCCCTCTTGATCTGGAGCTAATGGTGCCTAGACGTGATGAAAAAAAGCTTTGCAGAGTGGTGGACAAAAGCAAGTCAAAAATTGGAAAGGCCCAAAGAAGAGGGTTTCAAAGTGGCTTGGACCAAGTGGAATCACACGAATAGATGTTTCTTTCACAGCACTTCTTCAAAGCGGAGATGAGGCTGTGGTGTAATGCTGGATCTTGAAAGCTGAAGCAGTTTTCTTTTTTCTTTTTCTTTGTCATGTAGAGGGCTTAATGTGGGTTTTGTTGTTCTGGTTGGGTCGATATATACGTTTGTATAACAGGTGATCATTTCGGGTGTTATCTTGTAACCTCCTCATACCTCCAAGGTGGGGTAAGGAGGTTTATGGAGCTCTTTCCCCTTTTTCCCTCTCTTTTATACACAGATGCAAAGCTCTCCTGCGTGCTCTAGAAAAAAAACACACAGTCCAATGTATGCAAGAAACATTTTAAGACTAAAAAGGTTACATACTGTAACTAAAGCTTTGAATATGTAATCAAAGGACCAAGTGAATCATGCAAAATCTTTCAAAAATAAAATCTTTCAAAGAGAAAAAACTAATAAAGAAGTAATTGTGCTGAAAAATTGTATAAGACAGGCTAGTAAAGTTACCGTAGAGACGATTATAAACCACTCTAGTGGCACTGATGGAATGGACGCACTCCAAAAGAGCTGCAAGAGTGGTGTCCTCCGCACGGATCAGCACGAGTGGGCACCCGAGCAACTCTAGTGACTTCCCAAGGTGGGCAAGGGACTGCTTGAGCCACCACCGGGAGCACCTTCCAGGGTAATACTGCCCGTAGTCAGCAGGACACCATATGAAGAGAGGGAGGACAGAGCCCTCTTTCGCCGCAGCTGCCAAGGCCGGGTTGTCGTCAATCCTGAGGTCTCTCCTGAACCAAACAACGGTCTTCTCCGACCCAGCCATGCTCAGGAACCAATACCAGTCTTCTCAATCGACCATGACAAGCCCAAAGACGGCGACTACCATGTAACAGAACTTCTCAAACCCATTTCGTCGAGCATGGCCCGTGCACATGTCATGGAACCACCGGAGGAAGCAGCACGCAACTGAGTCAAGGACAAAGTGTGGATCCCGATGGCTGCGCCAGACGTACCAGAGATCTCCTGCAAGAAGATAGGAAGGAAAGCCGTCACGACGCCCGGCCCATAAGCGACAATATTCGCGGATCAGGAAGGAGGCGAAGCGGAAGATCCAAGATTGAGGAGCACCAACCGAACCGCAGCTTGTGGCTAGGAGAACAGGATCACGAGCTAGGCGACCACACCGGTAGTCTAGCGACAAGTGATCGAGAGTGGCGGGCTATTTATCAATTCTGAGGAAGAGGCTTGAGCTAGCTTCCCATGGCGGACAAGCAAATCGCATTGGGATCCCACCGAGTTGGGTACGTTGCACTGTATATCAACAGTATCCCACCGATTCCTCCTCTCAGTTCACTGTAGACCTACAGATGTGCGATCCCAGCCGTCCATCCCTAAGGTCCGTGTGCACGGCTCCATCAGATGATAGCCACGCAGCAGGCTTCTGGAACCTACGGCGTCGTTATCGATCCGCCCTTCCCTTCCGATGGAATCGAATAGAGTAGAAAGAGCAAAAAAAAAAATCCCCACCTCGCCTGCTCCGCGTGCCTGCTCGGCGGAGTCCGCCCTCCTCGCCGTCGCCGCCTCGGGCTGCCACCGCGTCTTCGACCCTTCTTGCGTCCGTCTCCCCCTCCCCAGGCACCTCGCCCTGGCGCAACCCCGCAACAGGGGAGCACAGCAGGCGGCCGGCCCGGCGCCGCACCAGCTTTGCGGCGCAGCGGCACGGATGCGCCCCGCCGGTGGCCGCCTCCCGGCAAGGCGTGCCGCGGTGCACCCGCGCCAGCAAGCCCCGGCGGTGTGGGCGAGCCCCGCCAGTGGCCGCGCCGCGCGTCACCCGCCCAACCGTCCGCTCGCCGGTTTGGTACGTCCCCCCTCTCTCTCCTTACCTGTCCTTGCTGAGCCTCCCTCTCCCAGCGCCGACAGGGCTCTTGGTCCTCCAGGTAGCGGGGCTTCCTGCCCTGGCCGCACGTGGCCGCGGCAGCCTCCTCGACTCGCGCCGCGGCGCCTCGCTGCCCCGGACCCATCGCGGCGGCCCCGTGCCCTCCGCGCAGCGCTGCCTCAATCTACCGTGCGGCCCGGGAACCACACCGCCGCCGCTCATGATGCCCCCACTAAGTCTGTATGTACGAAGATTGGCAAACACATTTTTGTCTTTATCTGTCCAGTTTTTGGAAGTGAGTAGAAAATTTGTATTTATACACATGTTTGTAGGTTCAGAGGCAGTCAGCTCAGTTTTATTCGGTGTATACATCACATATAAATAGGCCAAATTGGGTTTAATTGTAGAGTTCATTCACCTGCGTAAGGCAAATTTAAGGTTTGCTTCTAACTTACTTTTCATCCACCTTCTATGATCGTTTGACCATATAACTGTTATTTTATATCAATCATTGTGCTTCAGTTGTAAACTTCACAGTCCTTTTCTTTTTAATGGAATATACATGTAACTTGATTATGTCAGTTAACTAATAACGATTGCCTTCTTTTATGTGTTATTTCACTCAACTCAAATAGAAGGATCAATATGGTCACATTCCTATTTATTTTAGTCTGCGAAAAAAAACATGTCTCATGGTTGAACCATGCATATTAACATATAGTAACTACATTTCAAACTTCACACCAGGCTTCTCCAATGGATGAGCAAAGATCAAAAGCCGTAACTAAAGCTTTTGTATTGAGTTGTCTGCCTTTTCTGATTCCTTAATCCTGCACCTGATGTATCGTTTTTAGGTTTCATTATTGCTTATTTCATTTCTTTATCGTCTTACAGACAGGTACTGAAATGGAAAGATCAATATGGTGGTACCATGTTCAATCAATTGCGCCAGCTTCGGGCTTCACTTCGTTGGTCCTGTGAGATAATATTCCTATTTATTTTATTTTGGAAACAGAGTAGAATGCTTCAACCATGCATTGCAAATGGAAATGGGTGCCCTTTGATCTAGGCGACAAGTAAAATGCAGTACGGTCTAGGCTCGCAATGATTACTTACATAAAACTTTTTAGTTGTAAATTGCTTGGTGAAATATCTCTTAGGGTTCTATTGAAAAATCGAATGATATTTGGGTTTGCATGCTGGTACTTGGGTTCTCTAGCTGTTATCTTTTCCTGCTGCATGGTGACTGTCAGAAAGTTGCACAATACATGTTCCTTTGGAGCAGCCTCATTTACAACCATATCGCCATATAGTCGATTTTGTGTCATCTCCACATCAGTTTAGTACTTATAACATACTACCAGGTCATATATGCATTTACAACCATATCGCCATGTAGTAACATTTTTTGTCATCTCCATATCAGTTTAGTACTTATACGAAGCAAACATGTCATATATGCATCAGAGGCAAAGTACGAATTACCATAGTGACTGTTTTTTGTTCGCTGAAGCTGCACAAAAAACAACACTAAATAAAATCTCTTCCTGCAGTTGCACAGTTGTACGATGCAATTTTCCTGCAGTGAACATTGCTCTTTCAGGTGACTCTCCTCTTTTACCGATGATTTTGCTTTCAGCCAATTGTCTTATTATCTGCTCTTCCATACCTTCTCCCTCTTTCTCATACTTTGCTTCGTTCCACCTTAGGGCTTAATTTCACGCGCTGCTGTTTCTGCAAACTGTGCTCCACATGCAAACATGATTCAATGCTGCAACATTGACTGGTGGTTGTATCTTCAAGCCATGACCGATGCGGATTTGGGAATTGTACTAAATGTAGATACTTCTTAGAATCACCTAGAATGCAATCTATGAATACCTTTTCGGCGCCCTCTTGGTTACCTGTTATTATACTGTTCTGCACTGTTTCATATTTGATCATTACTTTTTCCTCGCTCTTCATTACCTGTTACATAACAGATCACTTCTTTTCCCGTTGTATTTAAAAATGGTAAACTTGGATCCACTTGGATTTACAGTGCAATGGACAACTATTAAGAAGAGGTGTGGGAATTAAACTGCAGGTTAACTGAGAGAATTAATATAAGAATTTAGTTTTTAGTACCAATCTCTTTATTTGGTCATGGAGGAAAATAAAGACGGAAGTTAAAAGAATACATATACATTGTTTGGTGGCCACACTTGCAAGCTTGGTGGGGGTTTTCTCATCTTCACTTGACAAAGCATCACTATCCCACTTAATACATAATGCATGCCCCTTCTTCTTGAATGCCATGCTTTTACCTTGTCATCCTTATTCTTCTCTTTCTTGCCCTTGGTTGACTAGCCATTGTCTTCATTGTGTGGACAATCGGCAATGAAGTGGTCTTTTCCTCCACATTTGTAGCTTCTTTTACTGCTTGACTTTGATGATCTCTTCCTATAGCCCTTCCTTTTTAGCATCTTGCCAAACTTCCTCACAAACAAAGCCATTGTGTCATCATCAATGCTTGAGCTTGAGCTATCATCATCACTTGACTCATCTATCTCCTTTCTTATTCCTTCTCATTCTCCACCTTCTCTTGATGGAATGTGTCTTGTGTAACAACCTCTCCAAGTACTTGTGTGGGAGTGAGGTTACCAAATCCACCTCTCACTATGATGGTCACTAAAGTGTCAAACCGAGATGGCAAACACCTTAGAAACTTGTGTGAGAAATCCTCATCATAAATCTTGTGCCCCAAAGCTTTCAACTCATTGACAATCATATGGAGCCTATGAAACATTTTTGGTACACACTCATCATCCTTCATGGTGAACTTGGTATACTTACTGTCCTTGAAGATGAATAACTTGGCACTTAGCCTTGACCAAACTTGGAAAGCATATTGAAGATCCTTTATGCTCTCAAACACCTTTTCATCTAGCACCTCATATAACATGTATCATTGAGTTGCAATAGTTCTTCTCTTGGTGTGGGATTCTTGGAATCGAGCACAAGAAACTCATTCTCCACAACACCGCCAAATCTTTCTACCTCTTGACTTGATATGTTGAGACATCTTTCTCTTCCAATTATCATAACCGGTGCCATCAAAGTGTGGAGCACGACTACTAGAGTTGTGTTGAGCAGCCATCCTTTATACCACGGGTGGTTAAACCTTTGCAAATACGGTGACTTGGATCTAATACCATTTGAAAGGATCTATGGATGGCTAGAGGGGGTGAATAGCCTAATTAAATTTTTTACAAGCTCACAAACACTAGGCAAAGGTGTTATTAAAATAGATGATCCTAATAAGCTCTAATTGCCTAGCCTATGCAATACAATGCAAGCCCCCTACACAATTCTAGGTGCAAAAACAAGAATTAAACACTTCACACAAACAAGCAACTAGAGGCTCTACTAAACAACTAAGAAGCAAGCTACAAGAGCAACTAAGCTACACAACTAACAAGAGAGCTAGCAACTAAAACAACTAGAGAGCTAGCTAGAGCTACCGAGCAACAACACAAGCACAAGATATGAATTGTAATTGCAAGTGTAGAGAGAGAGCAAACCACCGAGGGCTAGTGACAAAATATATTTCCCTAAGGTTCGGTTGCTTGCCGGCAACCTACATCCCCATTGATGTGGATCCAAAGATCACCACTCCACTTAGAAGATGGTAGATCACTATGGATCTCTCCAAACCTCCATTGATTTCATTAGAGTTACTCTTTGTGATTTTCTCGCGGGGATGAGTAGCCCCACACAATAGCCAATGACCGGAGACCACAATCACCAGCAGAGCTACGTGGGGGCCATAGTGGGTTGTGGCTCCCTTGTCTTTGTGTTTTTTATACGAAGCCTATATACTATTGAGCGCATATCTTAGAACCGACGGCCACAAGCTCAAGCCTTGTCTTGCTGCTGGCGCACTCAATCTCCCTCCGTCCTTACTC